GAGCCGGGGCTCGAACCGGCAACCTTCCGACTACAAGGCGAACTCCCAACTCTTGAGCCACGACCGCCCCCACTGAACATTGTAGGAGATTACCAGAGGTCTTTCCATGTCACACGGAAAACTCAAATACTGCCAAAATGATTCTGATTGGCTGAAAAGATCAGAACACCCTCATGTTAACTGAGGATCACATGATGAAGCTCATGCTGGCTTAAATTTCTCCTCTCTGAAGTTTGCTGTGACTCTTCACTTTCCATCTGCTGCTACATGTTCACTGGAGTAAGCCTCAAAATTAAATGTGGTGTGCAAAAAACATCCTGGATTTGCCTCATTGTGACTTCCAGTTCCTGAAAAGTAAAACCAGGCTGAAGGATGGTTGGATCCTGATGTAAACATACCTGAACAAATGAGGCTCAGGAACAGATTAAACCTTTGAACCGAAGCTCTTTTTCCTGAAGAGATTCAGAACAGCACTCTGCATCCACATTTCCTTCTTCTAACTCACTAAACAGAGAGTTTGATTCGATATGTCAACTTTATTTTCAACATTTTGAATCTTACCTTCCTGTTAGAGCAAAGGTCATATGTAAAGCTCTTTAAGATGAACAATGCAGTCTTGTTTTAAAAAGCAGACAAGCACTCAAAGCAGATTAAAGTTTTTATTCACTTTGACTTTATATTACAGTTGAGATGCAAATGAATAAATTTGGGTAATTAGGCAGATTGTTGTTACAATTTAGTCAGTGATTCGGACTTTTTCAGTTTGCACCTAAAGTACTGTAAGAGATCAATGCACAAATGAGTGAAGGAAGAAAACAACAACAACGACAGAGACAATATGATATGCTTCATCTGATTGGCTGTAAAGTGAAGCAGGAATAAGATGAGAAATGTCACAAACCTGTGACCAGTGTTAGCAGACCAACACGCTGGTGTCATCAGGTTCATGTTGGGAACAAAGTGGACGTGATGTTGGTAAAGCTGCCTGCCTGCACCGAGACGCCGGGCCCAGGGACACGCCCTGACTCGGTTAACGATTAAGCAATGCCCTTCTGTTAGTTAGCCACGACACAGCAGGCCCAGAGTCACAAGCTGCCACAATGATCATGATCCAGATGTGTTACCAGAAAATAAGGCAGCGCTTAAAAAAAAAAAATTCCCGTAAACATCCTTTAAGAGATTAACCTAAAATCAATGGAAATTATAAAAAAGAAGCAAAGTCAGAGAAAAGTGTCAACCTTTGCTTTTGGTTCACATTACAGTTCAAACACATTTCATCAGTTTCATTTACAAAACATCAGGATTTTGAGATTTTCCTTATGTCATGTGATTCAGCTGGAGTTATGGTGCCGAGGCGAGACGGTCTCAGCGTCACAGCCACAGCGTTCACACAACGCAACAGCATCAATCATGAGCACCGCCGAACGCTTTTCCAGAACGCTGCCTTATATCAGCAGGGGGATTATTGCCATTCCAGGTCAAAGAGAGGAGGGGCTGAGATTCCAAAATAAAAGACAGGAAGCAGATATTTCAGCACTGAATTTACAAGAGATAAAAAAATACTCGTTGACAATTTAAATAAACTTTGAGATCGTGACAAAAGGTCACATTTTTAAGAAAAGCGGTCTTCAACTGTTACTACTCGTTCTCGCCCACATCCAGCGGGGACTTCCTGTTCCCGGAGCTGCATCACCATTTCTAAAACACTATTTCCAGCTTTCTTTTTTAATATTAGCCTTGTTACCAAGACCAAGGACTGCAAGAAAACCCGGAGCAGCTTTGGGGCCTGAACTTGGTGTGATACAGTCGTCTGCAGCAGGCTCCATCCTACCAAAGCACTAACAAACACAAAGCTGCCCTCAGCTGAGAGTCGTGTAAGAACGAGTTGGGATCACGCACAGAGCTTTTTCCTACAATCTTAAAACTATCCTTAGGGAATCATGTCAGCTTATACCACAAGCACATCGTGTATTAATCAGTGCAGCACGTCCCTTCTAACACACACACACACACACACACACACACACACACAGAACTCCAGTCACCACCAACAGATAACTACACACAGCACCAACACAACACACACACATCCACCACACAACAGCTACACCCATGTCAGCTTATACCACAAGCACATCGTGTATTAATCAGTGCAGCACGTCCCTTCTAACACACACACACACACACACACAATCCCTTCACAGTTATAATGGCTGATTTTCCAATTGTTACCCAGTTAGAAATGAATTCCTCACATGATCAACTTAAAATCACTGACCTAAGCTAACAACAGAACAATGGCACTGGAGTCATCACGACAAATCCAAATGTAGAGAAAAGCAGACGGGCGTCTGAAAGGATGATATGGCAGCTCGACGTTTACGAGGACAGAAGCAGCCACAGTGAAAGACGACAGGTCAAAGCCGAGGTCGACATCGATGAGCTCGATCGTGTCGAAGATCAAACAAGCCATGGCTGAGACGGGATGAGGAGCACGGTAGCACTAACATTAAGCTGTTTCTTACAGTAAATACCTGAGTTAGACATGTTTAGACAGTGGTATGAACAACAACGGTGGAGCAGGCCCGCCTCATCCGTGACTCACGTCTGCTTTCCAGCCCTGGTTTAGGAATCTGACGCCACACTGTAAACATAAATGAATCCAGTTAAGCCCTATGAATGATAAGATGATCAGGAAGTGTCAGCATGAGCAGTGGAGCTTTAGGTAGTTTACAGACAGACTGCATAGAAGTCACCACAATCCTGACCCTGTGAATCCAGGAACAACAAAATCCCTCCATCTGCACAGCTGCCCGGAAACATCAGGACTGAGGTGGTGGGTGGATCTGTGGTCTGCAGCTCGCTCCTGAAAGCGAGACACCGCAGAGCCAGCGTTATCAGAGGTACGGTCGACACCTTCCCATCATTTTACACTACGTGCCGTCACAGTTTCACTGGCCGTGGCATCAGATACTCAAACCACTGATCGCTGAGGTCAGGTGACCCTGTGTGAGCATCAGTGAGCTGCAGACGCGGCGTGTGAGGTCCTAATGCCTTCATGGGTTGGTTAGTGCATGTCGTGCTGAACACAGCTGCCCAGTCGCCTCCACTGCACACACACAGTCAGGTGAGATGATGCTTTGTCGTTTCAGCAGGAGGCGGGGTTTCTTTGAGCGAGCTCTACGCTGCATCACACAGGATCTGCTCCAGCACCGTCAGCAGGCGCTTCAGGCCGTAGATGTAGCCGTGATCCTGGCTCTCACTCGGGAAAACATGAGCAAAGTCGATCATCCTGACCTCCACCTCTACGTCTCCTGCGCCGCTCTCTGTTTCGTCGCCTCCTCGGTCCTCCGCCTCCTCCCCGCTCCTCCTGCCCTCCTCTCTGTCCACATCCTTCTCTTGCAGTTGGGATTTGTTTCCGTTCCCATTAGGTGGTCGTTGCAGCTCACGTGACTGTTTCCATGCAGAGTTGTCCTCCTCACCCGGTGCTGAGACGCCGTCTCCAGACACGGCGCTCACAGCACCACCGTCTCCCCTGTGACCGTCCTCACCTTTCCTGCGATTGGAATAAACAGCGTCCAGGCTGTAGTCCCAGTGCTCTGCCACCTGGATGTTGTTGTTGTTGTACTCGGCCACTTCCTCTCCTTGCCCCAGCTTTCCCTGTCGGGCTTTCCGCTCTGTGCCGCCTTCACCTGATGACAAAGACGTGGGTGTTTTTACCATCACAGTGGGGCTGATGGATGGACTGCTGAGGAGGGACGACAGGGAGGATGAAGAGACAGAGGAGGGCAGGCCCTCGTAGACAAACAGAAGGGAGCTGGCATAGAAAGTCAGCTGGTGCTGGGACTCGAACCAGCGAAGGATCCGCTGCACTCTGCGGATGCTCGCCGCCACGGCGTCCTTCCTCAGGCTAACTCCATTATGGAAGAATTTAGACAAGCCTGGTGGACAGGAGAAGACGTTCAAAAACAATAACACCAATAATAATAACAATAACACACAATAACTCAAGCGTAGCCTGTGTCTCCACTATGTGTGCCACTGTAACACATTACTGTAATCACGCTGCACACTGATATGTACACCATGCTAACACAGGCCCGATCAGAAGTTTCACATCAGCTGAAAAATGGTACAAAATCCTATTTTGCATGTTTGAATCTTAACAAGGTTCCAGGAAGAAATGAGAGAGACACAAACGAGGTTTAACAGTATCAGGCTGGAGCCCCTTTGTTCCTTCAGACCTGCCTTTGACTGGCACAGACTCACACAGCGTCCACATCCCAGCACTGAGATCGGGTGAATGTGGAGGAGCATTCAATGTCATGTTCAACAAACTACAGCATGATATGGGCTTTAGGACATGCTGCGTGGAGGAGTAAAGGCTCTGTTTAAATTTCATCAAACATACAATCTCACACACATACATACCATCTTTAAGAGTGTCCTTAACCAATCCTCTTCCATAATGCTGATCATAGGAGTCGAAAGTGTCCGTGCACACCTTGTACACCTGAGAATACAAGAAAATCTCACATTAAAACAAACGTCTGCATTAGTTTTGGTTTGAAACACAGTGTCACTGTTCTCAGAGTCACTTATTCAGCAGCTGGCAGCAAACCAGAATGTTCCTGGACTTCCTGCTGAGACGGCACAACAACATCTGTGAGCTGTGACGAGGCCTGATCGGTCAGGACTTTGTGATGGATTTCAAACTGATTGAAGACAATGAGCCAATGAGAGAACGGGACCTGAAGGCTGCCTCCACCTAGTGGCCCAGAACTACACAAATGTGTGTGCGTGCGTGTAACTCTGCAGCAGTGGTTCGAGCTCAGACGCTTCTGTTAATGTGCTGAATGCAGAGTTACATACCGACACAGCTTCAGAGCCGCGACTCAAACACTGAGCAGCTCTTTCAGACTGACATTTCTGTCCACAAACCCATGCAATGCATGCTGGGAGCCTTTTACGTCTGCAATCCCATGATCATGAACTATAAGGGGATTCACTACAATCTAAAAGTCAAGACAGCCATGACAAAGATTCCACAAATTAAAAACAACCCTCAAAATGGATTTAGAGACAAACTAACTGAATCAACTGTCAGAGATTTATTTTAGCATAATAAGACATGCTGTCTTCTGTTTCCGTCATCAGGAAGAGAGTGATCAGCAAACAGCAGCATCCTCTCTACGTAAACAACTGAAGTAGACAGGAACGCCCTCAGATCAGTGCGCTAACCTCTGATGGGAGCAGATCGTGATGATGCAGACCCACACCGCTCCTGTCAGTAGCATACAGCGCCACTGTAATGCTGATGAATGTTTACAGCATTTAGAATCAGTCTATAGAGAGCACTCTAACTTTAGCATTACTAAGGTATTAGAAAAAGCTTAATTTATCATTTATACAGCATTACTCCTCCATAGTATGGCATTCATAAACACTCATGATTATGACTGTGAGGATTACCAGCAGTGATGCAGCAGCAGTGACGATACTCGTATGGATATTGAACCGTTCGATACAGTGCTTTCGGTTCGGTACGCATATGTATCGAACAATACTAAATTTTTAATTTATTTTATCAACTTTCCTTCTGACGATGCTGTCTGTGTTGAGCGCTCAGTGGATCTGCGCTCGACAGTGCAGCCTAGGCGGAGTAGTCGAACACAGATCCACTGAGCGCAGGGCAAGCTAGCGAGACAGAAGCTAAGCTCTCCTTGCAACATGGCAAATTGAACCTCCCTCACCCTCATTCAGATCTGGCCTTTGGAATTATTTTGGTTTTCATGTGACGTATGACCCTGAAGGTAAGCGTGTCATGGACTAAAGTAAAACAGTATGTTGGATGTGCCACGCAATGCTCAATTACATGGGTGTGAGCTAGTGTGTTAGCGCAGTTAGCTCGTTAACGTGTTGGCCGTCTAGCCCCACGCACGGGGCGATCCGGGGTAGCTCGTTAACGGAGATTTGCCGTGTTGTGGCTTTGAGGTCATTTCAGATTAACGCTGACAGCACTAGTGGGGAACACAACGAATATGACTGCACATTTACGCCGACATCATCCTCGTGCAAAGACAAGTGGAAGCAGACAAAAACAACAAGCATGCATGCTACAAACTTTACCCGAGTCATTTAGACAGCTGTTAGCACATGATTCTCCTTATGGGGACCTGATATGTTTAATATGCTGCTGAGAATATAGCCCAGAAGAAGCGTATAGTATAGCTTTTATTTTGGAAAGAGCCACTTCTCTGTAATAAACTCTCTTTTCCAAAGATGAGGGATTCCTCGATCAGATAGATTTCTTTTTTTATTACTTTGTTGTTTCAGCAACATTAAATTTAAAAACTGTACTTTTGGGTTAAAATATATATTTATAATTTTGATAAATGACAAATTAAAAAGGCATGAACATTTTTTTGTACCGAAAAAATATCGAACCGTGAATTTTGTGTATCGTTGCACCCCTACTGTACACGGTGTAACTAGTGTGATGTTATTGTAAAATGTTTCCCAGATTAGCATTTTTAAACCTTTTTGCTTTTACAATAGAACTTTATTTTTACTGAATAATCAGTGTTTGGTTTAAAGCTGCACTAAGGTGTTTGTCACCAGCAGAGGGCAGTACAACAACCTACACATAGACATGATGTTTGGTGATGAAGTCCAACGTTCAGTCCTGTGAACACGCCGTTGTTATTGCTCTAACTGAAGTTTAACGTTTGGGAGAATGAGCTGTGGTGAATTATTTATTGCCTTTCCTCGTTAGCTGTGTTCCCCATTTCAACCTGAATATTAGTGGGCGGGGCCAACATGGGTTCAAGCAACATCTGTATCCCTACTCCAGACCTTCCCCATTCATATTACACCAGAGCCATTAGGAATTAGATTTCTGTAATTCCAGAATGAATCTCCAGTTCGGGCATAAATAATGTTATCTAAATTTTACACTTTTATTACTTACAGTTTAAGCCTAAAGAGTAATGCTGACAGATTTCTTTCATTTACTTACCAAAATAAACCGAGACATATTCTTTTTCTTATATTAAAAAATATCTATTATGTGTGGAGCTTCTCACTGGTCCGGCCCACCTAAGATCAAACTGGGCTGTATGATGGAAACTGCTCTTGCAGTGTTCAGTAATATTAGAAAAGAACTATATAAATGGCAGTGCATGTGATACTCATACACTCACATGGACACTGCAAACATGTTTGTTTAACTGACCTCAGTAAAACATGTGTAGCCTCATACTTTAGACCAACACAAACAGGTTTCTTTGGCTCCCTGGGACATGTTTGCTGTGCAGTGTCCCATTGTTCTGTACAGAAGCCTTCTCTGCAGACACCACATGATAAACACTGAGCACTCAGCTAAAGTCCACACGCAGACATCACATTTTATGAACCGTTTACAAAGGGTGTGGAGCTATAAAGCTGCTGCTCCGTCAGCCCATCGGTCGATGCTAAACACTCTTCACATCATCTAGAAACTTATTACTCATTTCTGCAAAACACATTCATGACGTCTCAGCACTGAATCACACGTATCCTTCCCCTCTTTCATACCGCAACCTCTCTCACCCTGTAAACCGACCGGCCGTCTGTATCCACTGTGAGCGAGACATAACTGAAGCCATAGCGGCTCAAATGTCGCCCTGGTTACCGAGATCTGCATTGGGTGATGAGGACCAGACCTTCAGCAGATCCCAGGAACGACATCTGAGATCTCCACCATGAAGGACGCAGTCCTAGAAACAGCAAAGATACTGCACAGGACCCTAAAGCTCCCAGGCCTCTGGCAGAGGATCACACACAGGGACTTCATTTTTTTATATCTCTGTATGTGTGTGCGTCTCATTTTTGCTACATTTGATCTTAAACAGACAGAAGCAAAGGGGAGAAAATGTATCTAATGTGACAGAGCTGGTGTTACAGGGTTAAAGGGTGCTAAATAGAAAGTTTGGGGAAAAGCCCCAAAATCCAACCTTCGCGTCACCATTAGTTCAGTCTACATTAGCCTCTGTACTTTATGCTCACCTCAGATTAGCCCCAGACACAGAACAAGTGGGCTCTTCACTAGAAACCTGTTTGGCGGCCTTTGCACTTCATGGCTCTCTGGCCTTTGACCCAGACACATCACACCAATAAGAGGAGAAGTGAAAACAAGTTTGCAAAGATCATCAACACATTCACACCACAGCAAACAAGCTGGAGGTGTGGAAACACTGAATGCAGTCCTGGAGTCAGAGCTCAGCGGTGTGGCACATTCAGATGAATGCTTTTAAACATCTGTTCAAAGACAAACAAAGGACAGTATCAGAGTGAGCATGAAGCCCAACGCTGGCCTGTATCACTATCACACTCTAGCCCAAACCAGCACTCCTACTGCGGATGATGACGATGACAAGTTGTAATGGAAACTGATCGACCTGATAAAGGTTTCGCTATGTGACTCTCTTTCAAACAGATAAGCTGTCTCTGTCGTTCCTCTTATCTGTTGGTTTGGTGTGGACAGTGGGTGTGACTGTGTGTGCATGCACATGGAAGCGCCACGCACTGTTCAGCTGATTTATTACAGGGTTAAAGATTAACCCATTTCCAGGTCCACTCCACGGCATTTCTCAGGACAAACGTTACTCGTTTTCCTGATTGTAGTGATTTGTGACCCTGTGCAGCAAAGATATTTCCTCCTGCAGACATCAGCTTTACTAATACTATGAAAATAAAGATGCGAGTCTGTGTTGGAACCAACACCAGCCTTTCTACATGCACGTTCTTTGTTTGCATGCAAGCAGCCGTCTTAGCAGATGTAACTAGCAAAGGTGTCTAAACGTGCTGGTAAAAAGATGCAACTTTTACAGCTGAGTCAATGCACAGTTGCATTTTACATACTAAGCACCTTCAGCTTCTCTGACACGAAAGACACTGAAACATGTGCGAGTCATAAGATCAGTCAACACATTAGACCCACAGCCTGCAGAACAAGCCCATCGTCCTCCCTCCACCGGCGTGCTGACAGCGGCGTTGGTCGTTTTCCAACTGCACTGTCATGAACGTCAGCATTTAACATGCTGACTGAGGTCTGATGGCAGCCATGTTGCTCTTGGGTTTTTGGAGCAGTGCACTGATGTTGGGGTGAACTTGCCGGGGCCTCCACTCCGACTGGCAGCTGTTTCCTCTCATTACCAAACGTTCTCTCTCTGTGTTTCCAGAGTGATGGGCAGCAACAGCTGCTTCTCTAAGATCACTGCTGATGTTTCTCCTCCACAAACTGTTTTCAGAGAGGTGCTCACACAGTTACCAGTGATATTCGACTGCACCTTCTACTCACCTTCTTAACTCCTACAGAAACACTCGGGGGGATATTTGGCTCGTCACACAAAGACTCTGCATTTGGACTTTTCACACCGACTGATCTGCAGGCCTGTGCATGATTTTACTGTCACAGCACCATGACTCAAACTCACCCTCAAGCCAAGCACCAGGAACCCGATCTCCTCCATCAGCGGGTATTTTCTGATCTGCTGTTCCCGTTTCTCCTGTGAGGCGTACGGATCATAGCTCCGCTGGCCCAGCTTCACATCCATGATACAGGGTTTGATGAAGTGACGAGTCACATCCTCCAGCTTCAGGTACAGGTCTGTCAGTCACAACAGAAGCTGTTAGTTTGTCTCGTTTTGTCTGATTGTTGGTGAAATGCTGAACGTTCACGGAGCTTGTTGGCATATCAGCGTGAGTTTTATTTAAAAAAATCTACCTCATGTAAGAATACAATGATATGAAGACACACCCGCAGTGCAACACCTACACCAACAATCACATCTGGATGCACCAGGATGAACACGAATCACGTGCTGAAGCTTTCACAGCTCTCATTGAGGATCTAACATACAGTGGTTTTCTCTTTGACTCTGCGGACAGCTACAGATCCTTACTGAGAGACTGACCGTTTCCTGTTACAGTAAAATGTCAGTGTCTGTACTGGTATTTGGAGCTGGAGGTCCCAGCGTACACTGGGTCCGAAGCTCTCAGGTTTCTGTTTGCTGATCTGAGACATCTTTGCTTACACGCAGGTAAACAGTGTGTGCAGAGAGGAGACGGTTAAACTCACTATTAGCTTTTTTTGTCTTTTGTCCGTAGCGGCTAACGCTAGCTGTTGTCTGTGTGATGCCACAGTACGGCCTTACCGTTGGGCCTGTCAGGAGAGGACCAGGTGCCGTAGTATCTGGGCAGATAAGTCTGGAGCTCGAGAAGACAGGGATCGCAGCAGTCCTCTGCATAAACCTAGGACAGAATGCCATACGATGGTTTATCTCTATGTGAATAAGTACCTGCCAAAGCTTTTACAGTAACTAAAATCATCTCTCAGGACGGCATGAAGAAAAGGAAGACGGTGCAGCAAAGAACTGAACAATCTTCTTTGGTATTAGTGCCTCCCACGACGAAAATAATATTCAGGCTCTTTATAGTAAGTGCAAAGAGGTCAGTGTACTGGAAGCGAAGGGTGGCTGCATCTGTTGATACTGGGACTGTTTAAAAAACAGAGAGCAAGCATGTGTTTGATGACACTGCCTCCTGAGCTCAGTAAAGTTTTGGAAACTGGGAGCGATGCTGGTCAGTGTGGGCCTGCTGCTGGGATCCCGTCAAACGACAGCCACACGTTAGCCTCAGACTCCGTCCTGACACAGCTCTAAAGAAAACAGTGAAGCAGCTCACTGTGGCTGCCTGTACTGATAATTCTTCATCCATCCAACACCGGCTCAACTGACCACGAGCTACATCTGACCCGGTGACCCCGGGGGAACTTTAAGCAGCTGGTTAAACAGCTCCACCCGAGATCCAACAGCCTGGGTAGAACATATTTCAGCTTTATTGTGAGACAGCATTGTGCAGCTTCTGAAGGTCACAAGGTTGAGTTCAAGTGTGAAGTCATAAAGGCTACGTTCACACTGCAGGTGAAAGCGCATCAAATCAGACTTTTCTGACCCTCTGCGACTCATATCCGATCATGGTGTGACAGTGTGAACGGCACAAATCCGATATTTTCAAATCCGATCTGGGTCACTTTCGTATGTGGTCCTGAATCCGACACATATCTGATGTTTTAGAAAGCGACTGCTGCTTGATGGTCACGTCGCATTAAATCCGTCTTTTACGTAACTGACGCAAGACAGACGCCGATTATCAGCGCCCGATAAGACATCGTGAACGCTTCCTGGCCCTCCAGTGAAACTGTTGGGAACAACGTTGGAGAAACGTGAACATTTTATTTGTACTGTATAACCTGCAGATTCTGACAGAAATCTGCAGCTATCCTTTGAAGCAGCGCTCCTCTAAAACAGCAATAAGGATCATTATTAGGTTATTTACATTATTATGTAAATAACAAAATAACTTAAAGCAAAAATTGGGAAACGTAAAGTCTTTATATTAAGGCCGTCAGTCAAACATACTGTTGCTCTGGGTCTAAACAGAGCGCGTTGTGTGTGACGTCTTCTTTTGCGCATGCGGGCGCTTTGAGCGTTCACACTAGAGCGCTTTTGCTGTCACATTTTATTTGTAGTGTGAACGAGCAGACAGAAACATCGGATTTGATCAAAAAATCGGAATTGAGCATCAAGACCTGCAGAGTGAACGCAGCCTATGTTACACTTGAAATATAGGAGGGAAAAAACCAAGCAAACAAAAAACTGCCCAGGCTACTCTGGTGCTCGTCTGTGACTCACGCTGTAAACCTGCGTCCTCTGTGACAGCAGAGGTGCAAAACAAGGCTGTTAATGCCCTTCATGTACTTACTCAGCAGCATTTATAAGTCTGTTAACTTTATCACCAGAAACATGTTTACTGCTAATCTCCTTAAAATATCCCAGTTTTATTTTGAAAGCATAGCACACAAAGTTTAAAAACAATATTTTGAGACATAAATGTTGTTTTCATTTTTTGGGCCATTTTCAAAGAGACCATGTGACCCGGTACAGTGTGTGTGTGTGTGTGTGTGTGTGTGTGTGTGTGTGTGT